TAAACCTATCCCCCATACCTGCTTGTAAAAAGTGTTATCAATTGCCTGACTTTTGAAATGAGGGCTGCTTACCTACCAAGGAAGCCTAAAACATTATTTCAATGCCTTGAAGCTGAACGGCCATTTCATTCGGATATTTCAGTAGTCTCTATTGCATTTCTGTGGCAACGCAGTTGGCTGCTGGTCTGGCTTATTTAGAGTCATGCAATTTCGTTCACAGGTATGCGACATTTAATATGGGCCCTCCATTGATGGCCGAATGAACAGCGAGTAATTCATTGCTTTCCAGAGATATTGCGGCCCGAAATTGCTTAGTAGATGAGGAGGGGAATGTGAAAATTGCTGATTTTGGAATGGCACGAAGTCTATACTCAAATGATTACTATCGAGTCGAAGGGCAATTCGTTCTGCCAATTCGATGGATGGCATGGGAGAGTCTGCTTCTGGTTGGTTTATTACCTTTGGTAAGATTGAGTGGAGGCTTCAGTAACGAGGAGACATCGATGTGCTGGAATGTACTTTGGGAGAGTATCCCGCGTAGGACAGTCCAACTCCCTGACTCCATAGGCACAAATCCTTTCTCATCGCGAATTTGACAGTTAGAGTTTGCGTTATTGCTCACTCGCTTGCATCTTCGAGTCTTACGTCAGTACAATCTGTTTTCTCCTTCCTACGGTGGGATAGAGTCAGAATTATGGAATCTAAAGCCTTGCCTGAGTATCTACACGGCTTTTTATATACTGTGATGAAGGGAATCCATCCTCAGTTACTGCACGGTAACCCCCAACTATGTTGATCGGGTAAACACAGCTCGTTCCCTGATTGAAGGTTCCGATAGTACATTGTTTTTGATGGGTGAAGAGAGTGGGCCGATCAAAATAAAATCGGGATTATGTTATGAGCTGGTTGAGATTATATTCGTCAGAGAAAATATCATTTCACATACATCAGTAAAAAGCCGGAATGTCTAAAGGAGTTGCTATGGTCAGCAGTTCTTTGAGGAATCCTGTATAGGGGCTTATCTTTCATAATCACTTCAAATCCCATTTATTTAAGCCCCGGTTTTGTAAGGTATTAAATTATCACGAGATAATGTATGTCCTATTCTCTGCAGCCACCATGTGCACACGCAGAACAGAACCACGAGGGCAGAAAACCTTTGTATGTTACTAGTTGTGATAACTAGAGTTTCCCATTTGTAACATATATTCCATATCTTCGAGGTCGTTTTCACTCACATTCGCTACTAAAAATAACTCGAGTATACTTTTCCTCTGGTTGTTGTTGTTGTTGGGACAACAATATTATCTGAAGGGATCGATGCGTATAATGAGATCTCATCCCCTGATTGAAAGCGCAGGATGCCTGTGATTTAATGTAGCTCAGACGATTCGATTTTGGTTTTTAGGGCAAATTCTCAACCCATAGCGACGTTTGGGCGTTTGGCGTGACTTTGTGGGAGATTTTCAATCGATGTCGTGAGAAGCCGTTCGCTTCGTTGACGGACAATCAAGTTCTGGAAAATATCCAACACATGACCACCACCTCCACGTTGAAGGTGAATCTTCCTCGTTGATGCGTTCACTGACAAGTACGTCTTATTCGAGCCCCTTTTCAGTATCAACTGGAACGACCAGCATTGTGTCCAGAAAAGGTGTTCGCAAATGTGATCGTTCCTTGCTGGCTGTACGATCCACAAGCGCGGCCGTCGTTCGAGGCTTTGCATCTGCAGCTTCAAATGCTCATTCATACCAGAATGTCGTGACCGCCTGGCTTTACAGCGCTCGTTGATCACGCTTTTCTCAGGACTTGTCTCTCCGTCATTACGGTTATGCCCAATTTCTATCTTTCATTAACATATCGAATTCACTGGTTCT